ATATAGTCGCACTATATTTAAAAAAAAACTTAGTGAATACTAAGTAACTAAGGTACTGGAGGTAATGGCCAAAAACTAAAACGTTACTCAATTTTAAGATGTTGTTAAGTCTCGTGGTGTCACAGTCACTGTGACTTAAAATGATAGAGACAGCACGAGACTTAACGGCGTCTTAAAATTTAGTAGCGATATAGTATTTGGGCAAAAGACTTATTTTCTGCCTAGTAGTCTGTTTAGGTAAGTACCATCCTCTTCTATATTTCTTGCTCCAGTTTGAAGGGTATACCTTAATAGAAACAAATTTGATTCCTTTTTTCTTTGAAATCAATTGCAGGTGTCTATGGTTAGCAGTAGATACTTAGCATCAGACTGTAGGTTAATTTGTCATTATGACTGCATAAGCCCATAGCTATACGTAGCCCTTGCACACTCCACAGACTGCGAAAACTTTTAGCTAAGCATTATTTGTAAATCTTTGGTGTACCCGTCGCACAAGCGCACAAGGCTTGTGAGTTTAAAACCGATACCTTCGCACTGGTATTTATTGGTAATAATTGGTATTGCTCCCATAATTAGCCTATTAAACTGTTTCTGGATAAACTTTCCGACATCAATCATTCGCTAGAACTTCGTTTTTCGAGTATCGAATTGGAACTACATGAAATGAAATAATCTTTATTGAGTTCTTCCACATATAGTACATTGTGTAGAGACCATGTGCATGAGTCGAAATTATTTATTGATATTAGATATTGGTTTTAAAAGCTGTATATTTACTGAAACTTTATGTTGATAGGTTCACATATTGTTTAATATAAAATTCACTTCTATTGTACGATATATCAATTATACATTCAATATGTATATACGTTTTGTATTGCCCACTCCTAAAACAGTGCACGCTTCACATATTAGTTTAAAATACGATAAATATTTTGTTAGTACTAAAATGTAAATTATTTTTTATTTTATATACTAACTCTTTGCATTCCTATTTTGAAAGAAAAAGGTAAAAAATAACAAATCAAATCATATCAAAAAGTTTTTATTACATTTTATTAGTACCTAACAATAAGCATGCATGTAAGGTAAAAATACACTAAGGACACAATTTTATGTAACTGTACAACCAGCACCTTTTTTCCCATCTTAAACATTTATACGTCTGTAACATTTAAGCGACAATGTATATAATAGTAGATAATATATATAATAGTAGATAACCACGATTTACATAGATAGAGCATATAACAAAAAATAAGAAATGTAGTGAAACAGGATTCTTTTATATTTCTCTTTATAAGGGCCGGATACATAGCGTGCACTTTATGGTTTATGGGGCTAGATTGTAATAAATTACGGTTTATTATCCGCTCATTCCCAGTTATTTACTATATCTGAGTACCTGAGATTTTAAAGTCTCCATTGAAAGATGGTGAACGAGAAACAAAAGGATCCTTTGTTTTTTGGACGACCCGATAGCGGGTATATAGGTAGCGAGTTCAAGCAAATATTTGGACTATGTTTATGAAGTATGATGATACTTTGCTTAAAGATGATAATGATATCTTAATGGCCGATTTTCAAACACAGTAACAAACCCTGAATATTGTCGCAAAATATCAACTGCCTATAATTCTTTAATAAAAGTAGAGGTGTCAAAAAGGAATTTAGTTCAAATTATGGTAAGTGAAATCTGAGAGCCAAAACCACTTACATCTATCTATCCTCGATTATGAAAAAAATGCACATGGACTGTCACCCTGAGTATTAAAATAGAATGCCTCGTTATTAATAAAAAAGGCCTCCGGTTCTCTACACACATACCATACACACTGGGCCCCAGAAGCCCTTATAAAATACGAGTAGGGGTATGTATCTCACGGGCTGAATGCTCATCTAAAATGTCATGGTACTCGAGCAATACGCACCACTTATTCAGCAGTTAAAAAATGTGACCCTAGGATGTCCGAAAAACTAAAAACCTAGTTCAAAGATTTTAGCGTAAAAAGAATTTAAATAGTTCGATTCAGTGGAAAAATGTAGTATTTTTTTTTGTTTGTCTTTAGATGGTTTATTTTTATTGAAGTATAAGTCTGAGCAAAATGGCATGGATAGATAGATAGCTTATAAATGTCTACAGTAAAATATACATTTTTTTCTTTTTGCAGCCATTGACCATTGAATTCATCCTATGATATACAGTAGACGTTTTTGAACGCACGACTGTGATTCATAGAGCCTGTCCTATAGTAATTACCCGACGCGGGCAGACCCATAAAGGTATAACTGTGCCAACTTCCACGATCCGGCAACATAGCAAAGAAATTGACATTACTGATGTAAAGTTTAAGTATGTATCACATACAACATATTTAGTGGTATCACAAACATTTCCAACTATCACATAGTAATATAAAAGTATATATATATATATATATATATATATAGTATTTAAATTATTTATAGTCCTCATTAATTCATGTGGCTGCTTGGCTGGGCCACCCGAATCCATCAACTACCAGCATGTCTTACCAGGTTGTTACCCCATCTAGTGGAGGACCGTCCTACACTTAGCTTACTGGTACGAGACTCTTACTCTAGGACCTTTCTTTCTGGTCGATTATAGATTTTTTCGAGTTATGTGGCCGGTTCACTGCCACTTTTTGTACGTGATAGAGTCATGCTACATAATTTAGCTATTATTGTTGTAGCACGAATGGGTCAGCTCGACCAGGTTAAGACCACGCTCTCACAGAATACCAGCGTAAAATAGAAGCTTAGTGCTGCTGTGTTTGGTATGGTGAGTGTAAAGAACCGATACTAAGGTTTTAGTAAGATTCTGTTTATTGTTATTTTAGTTTACTGGTAGTTTGGGCTATCTGCTTTACAACTATATAAAATGTATATATATATATAATACAGAAAGTATCTCCGTGTAGCACAGAGACTAAGCGTCATGCTGTAGCACTGCGTAGCCGCAGGTTCGAGATCCACACGGTAAAGGCGTATAGAATAAGGATGACGGTAAAGGTCTTTGTACGGTCTGCAAATATTGATCTGAGTCTGGACGATAGTGAGTGAAATTTATGCATGTAAAACGTCTCTACAATGCAGGTGAAAGTCATAATATCGACGCAAAGTTTTTATTGATAAAAAAAAATAATTTACTTAATAATATGTTGCAGTGGCAGCGTAATAATTTAAAATTAAAAATTTTGTACAACCGACTTCAATATAAATTATTAAGAATAGCTCTAAAGCTATTGGTCAGTCCTTAATAAAATTTATATGGAACCGCATGTGAAACACCAGGTTTCAAATAAGAAAAGAATAATCGAAATCGGTTCACCCAGTATAAAGTTATGAGGTAACACACGTAAAAAAACATACAGTCGATTTGAGTAGGTACCGTCTCCTTTTTGAAGTCGGTACAAAATGTCTTCCAACCCATATATTCCCTTGGGTATCGTGAGAGGTGACAAAAGGAAACTGAAAAAAGAGATAGGCAGCAGCTTCCAACAGCAACCAAAAATAATAAAAAAACTTCGGTTGCCAATCCGCTTATCAAGCGTGGCAACTATTGCAAAATCGACTCTATGAGGCTCTATGGGGAAAACTTATGTTCAACAGTGGAATTTTGATAGGCTGTAAATCACTAACACACAATCAATAACACTTCTTTCTAAAAAAAAAAATAAGCGAGGCATAGTTTTCTAAACTTGCACAATTAGTGTTCCGTGTCCAATAAGAAAAGAGAACCGGACAGTTGTTTACTTTTTATTAGCCAATCCATATTAGTCCTCTGAAGTGGTAATTCATCTAAATTTTAATGCTGAATAGAACATATACGTAGAGTATATTGCATTGAACAACATTTTAATATTGATTAAACTTTTAAAAACAGACCGACTTTAAGAAACTAAACATAGTTGCATCAAGTAATTTAATGATTTCAATATTCAAAGTGGTAAAATACATTTATTTACTACCATCACTCATCCTAATAATGTGAGTTATTATAATAATCATTTTGGCTCATTCTAAACCAAATTCTCAATCAATTAAGGCAGTGTAAGAGAATCATCACGTCTCCATAATGTTCTTAAAACATCAGAGGGAGCAAGTATTCAGCACATGGTAATATATACTTCCCACTGCTGGGCGTAAGCCTAATTTTATTTCTGAGAGGCGACACCAACGCGCTGTCCCAATGCGTGTTTGCCGACTACACATCATGCCCTATTAATATTTTCTCATTTCTCAGCCGAGCACGTCAGTACTTACTGCAATGAGGGCTAATAATCTTCCACTCACCAGATGTCGCTAGTTGTGACTGAGGTGAAATTTTTTTGTTACACAATGTCAGTTAATTGAGAAATTAGTTTTAAATCATCATAGTTTATCATTATCACAATGCGTCAGTGGTTTGATTTTTAATTTTTTTCACTTTATAACTCTTTTTGAGAAAAAAAATCGGCTTTTAATTATATTTATAGTTTGGTTTATTCATTTCCAATGTAATTAATATAAAATATAACTAATAATATAGAAAGAAACCTTAAAGATTACATTTTCCTAAGAAATTATCGTTCCCGCTATGAAATCTATCAAATATTTTACCTCACTGTAAAGTGGCGCCGCCCTGGTGGCAGAAAAAGTCGTGGATGCCCTCATTAATCTTATTGGTGTTGACGTAAACCGGACTAAGTTTACTCGTGCACTCTGAAAATTTAAGGCGTGCGCTTATACTCTAAACTGGCTTTTATGAGAATTAATGTTTATTATTTGATGAAAATAACTTCTTACTATTATTGATATTGATTTTCTTAGATTTAAAAAGAAAACATAATAAACGTGTTAAATGTTTTAGAATCTTTTATTTAATTGTTACATTACTTTATTAACGTCATAAGGTTTTAGTAAGAGCGTCTATAAAAACTTTATGTGTGGCCTCGCCTACACCGATCGTACATTTCACATAAAGCCGCCATTACTACAAGCGCATCGTAATGAGCAGATACATTTCAAAGCCAGCGCACAACGGCACATTGTCTCGATTTCCTAGTAACGAATAAAATTTGCAAATGCTAGCGAAATACTCTAAGTTATGCGAGACTGGTGTTATAACGAACAAACTTGCTTCGTGAATGCACGCTAACGTGATGTAAGGGTCGTAGTATACTTAGAAATATTAATATTTTTATAAATTGTTTTAACGCTCAGAAAAGAAAATGTTATGAGATAATTTTTTTCACACAACATAAAAACGCAGAATTATAACCTGATACAAAAGGGAACCAAAAATATTTATATAAAAATAATAGAAGACAAAAAAGTTCACCGACCTAATTGGCGCTATATTGAAGATGGGCCAAATTAATTTTACCATTAACCGACAAGCATCTATGCGTAGCACAGATTGGGGGTAATCTATGATGCGTAGGCATATGGAAGTAAAGGAGGCGGGTGAGGTGTGTTAGAATTGTGCCATATGGAAATCCGTAGTCTCTGCCTACTCCTCTCGGTGACAGGTGTGAGAGTTTATGATATGACATATAAATATATATCAAAAAAAGTTCAATACTTTTCATTAGGCTTGGAATTCCAAATTAAAATTTATCACATATCATTGAAAAAAATCGGTTTTATGTTTACCACCGCACTTTTCTTTCACTTACATCAGAATCAAGTATATTTGAAATGATAATGTAATTAAAATACCTGTGTGTAATTAAAATACCTTATTTAATTACATACACGTATTTAAAATAAATATTTTTATTATCTAGTCGTTATTAGAAAGACGCTGCTGCCCATCTCCTGGTTTGTTGTCCTTTGTCGCCTTTTACGGCACCAATGGGACGATACAGGATAGAATATTCTTACACCGCCACTACACGGTAATCGGACCCGGAAGGAATGAATTAATGGACTAGAAATACCTTCCAACTTTTATTTGTAATTATTACATTAATGCTTGAAGCACTCTCGTTGCATCCCACACATAAACCGTAAACGCGTACAATATGCTAATTGCTTCTACAACACGACAACAGGCTATTCACGAAGAACAACTGAGCTCTATGGCGTGGCGTCCATTTTATTTGACTTTTTGAGAACCATCGACCAACTATTCAAACAACTTAGTCATGTCAATGTACTGCCGCGTTCTAAGATGAATATAAACGTCTCCAAAGAAACCTATCAACTTTTATGTCTGGTTCTGTTAGGGTGGCACTTTTGTTATGCATATAGCATAATATTATAATAAAACTGCTTTTGCAGGTTTTATATCTAATAATAATTTTAGCGCCTATAAAATTAAAATAGCAGTATATTTCAAATAGAGGAACACGTACTATTATGTCTATCCGACATAAGAAATTCAGTTTCTCTTTCATATCACTCATTTTACTTTAATAAAACTATACTGTACCTACTTATATCTATACAAATAAATAAAATTGAAGTGTCTGTTTGTAATGTCAGAATTACAGTTTTTTACTAAAAGCATATGAAAGTAAATACGGTACTTATAACTAAAATACAATTTTTAAAATTTTTGTCTGTCTGTCTGTCTGTCTGTTTGTTCCGGCTAATCTCCGAAACGGCTGGACCGATTTTGATGGGACGGGAGTAACTTAGGCTACTTTTATTTTAGAAAAAGAATTAGGGTTCCGCGCAAAAACATAAAAACCCTAACACGCGAGCGAAGTCGCGGGGCACAGCTAGTTTACAATATAATTAATAAATAAAATTATCTTCTTAAATATATCTTCATCTACTTCTTGTACATCATCATTATCACTAGTCTCTCTAAAGATTTAACTTTATCACTCAGCCGGCGGATTAACGAATTTCGAGACACGACGTCTGTCACGTGGTAGCGGCATGTACCACGTGGTAGAGCCATGCTGTAGCTATATTATAATTATTGTAGCACAATTGGGTCAGCTTGATGGACCATGCTCTCACAGAATATTATCGTAAAATAGCAGCTTAATACTCCTATGTTAAACATAGCGGCGTTAAGCTGCTATTTACGCTGGTAATCTGTGAGAGCGTGGTCCTTCCCCGGTCGAGCCAACCCATTCGTGACTCTACCACGTAAAAAATTGTTACAATTGCGAAATTTCGATACGTACAAAGTAAGGTTCTATGACTGTAAACCAGTGTTATCATTTCGCACATACATGCTGCAATTCTGATTTTTCATAAGTGTATTTACTAAAGCATAATCTATTTTCATATTCTTCCTCTTTTCATCAGCGCCTAATCAGCCCACTGCCGTGGTAGCTGGGATGGTTAGCGCTCGCTGTAAACTTCACAGTACGCGAGCAACCCGGGTTCGATCCAATTTTTTTTTTGCAATTTTAAGTGCTAATTTACCACATACTCGGCAGTAAAGGAAAACATCGCGAGGAAACCTGCATGTCAGAGAAATAAGAAAAAAAAATTCGAAGACATGTGAAGTTCGCAAACATGCATTGGAGCAGAGCGGCAGACATTTCCTTGCCCTAATACCCTCTCAAAAATGAGAGGAGGCCTGTGCCCAGCTGTGAGACGTATATAGGCTGTAACTTTAAGCAACCCACGGCTGATATTGGCTTTTCTCTGAAGAGAGAATTTTCCGTAATCACTACATTTTTTTACACTGATTTTTTTCTTTTTTGTTACAGTACATCGGTGCTAATTCTGGTTGCTGCAATAGCCGCAACCTGTGCTGCGCCATCACGTGAATCCAACGATAACAACCTGACCAACGACAAGAAAGAACCAACTACACACGAACTTCTCAGTTCACTCGGCCTGAAGAAGCTTAGGATTCCAGCTGCTCACCACCGAAAACGTCTAGCGGAACAGGGCAGACGGCACGGTAATGGTGACTCTAGAATGTACGTCATTAAGTTGCCACCAAATACGAGCTACTACAGCCATTCGGACCCCGCCCCGGCAGCCGCACGCACGTTGCCCTTACAAATGACAAGCAACGGGAAACCAGCAAGGGTTTACCATTGGAACTTACCCGTGCTACAAAAAATCGCCAAAAGCCGACCACAGGCAAGATTTGATGATGATATCATCAATGTAGAAAGCTCACCAACGTGGCCTAAAGGAGCGAACTATCACCCGAATTCTCTAGAAGCTCTTGCCTACTACGTACCAGCGAAGAAACCGTCATTTAGGAAATATTACTCGGGAAATGGCAAGCCAAAATCGTTCTACGTCCTTGAGAAAAATAAGCACTCTGCACAATATCACAAATTGTTGCCATAATATAAATATAATTTGAGACTTTTCTCACTTTGAGAACATTTCACTTGTAATTGGTTATGATTTAAGAGAGAATACATGCTTATTTTTACATAGAAACAATACATAGCTTCTCTACTTAATTATGAGAAACTTATGTACATAAATGAATTTAACATTTTAAATTTAAATTGCATATCAGTATGCATATAGACCCACGAAATAAAATATAATTTTATTAATAGATGCTTTTAATGCAATATGCATACAATAATATGAAACTGTTAATTACTTTGGTTTAATTGTTCTTTTTAAACCATCTATTGTATTTTTTTATTTTAGAACATCTATTGTATGCCTAAGAGGTTTTATTTAGACTACAATTAGGGCATTAGCTTTTCAAAGAAATACTCTAATTTTATGAACACTTAACTTTTTTAACACCCTATTATCAAACAACCGCTACTAGCAACATTTGTTATGTTAACTTTGGTTTTAAAATATGACAAATTAAAATGAAACATAATAAAATTGTTTTCGATTTTTTTTAATAATATTACGTTTGATAACTATCAATCCAATTCAAATACCTAGTGTTTATAATAGTTCTAAACGCCAAGTTAGAATCAAAGTACCTATGCCTAGATAATACCTATATTATTTGATATTTTAATCGAAATGTATTATAGTTGATCCACTACGTGTATATAGCGGCTTTTTGTAATAACGATAAGGTGATCAACCAGGTGCTTAGATATTTTATTAAGACTGCAAAACGAATTTAAATTATTATTCTCTAGACATAAGTTTATGTTTACGTATGTGTATACGCCGCTGCATTTTATTTTGAAATAACGAACATTATTCCTTAAAGCACAATATTTTCGAAATGGACACACAACATCGTATTATATAACTAAACATATATATATCAAAAAACTATTTCGATCTCACAATTTAAAATATTTTTAATCTATCAAAAACTGCATTTATCTGTTAATTCTTTTGTATACCGTTCAGCATTATATTGGTAAATGCACATTACGATGGTAATATTAAAAGATAACAAGTGTATTAATGCCTTTATTTTTAAGATTGTAATATGTATGTAGCTTTAGTATTTAAATTATATTATTGAATACCTTTTTTAATAAAAAATGTCAATTCAATATTAATAGCTAAATTAACAAATATTCCGTTAATACCTACTTATAATTACGTGTAATGCGCCTGCGCTGCTAAAGCAGAATGCTGAGTTTAAAGCAAATAAGTGTTGCATGTTAGAAATATTAATAATATGTAGAGTTCTAATTTTAGCTATACCAATTATTTTAGGTAAAATTATGTTTAAATCACCGCATTGCATGAAAATATGTTTTACATTTTATGTAGAATTACATTTTGCCAACTTGATAAAGTCTGATATTAAAAATCATTTTACAGTACCTAATTTTGTTTTTTTCATTACTTATTTAATATCTTAACCCTTTCGCTGTCCGGTGCACTACATATAAGTCAATGCTCATTGCTATTGTCTGACTATTGTGTCTTAAAACTGGACAGTGAAATTGTGAAATAAATTAATCTGAATGAGTTACAGTAAAAATGTATTTATTATTAATAATAATAATTAAAGCCAATCTTTATTTAGAGTAAAGCTTTAGATCATCTACAGTTGATGATTTAATAAGGTATGAAAATTGTCCCTTCTTGAAGAAGAAGTTCTTTATCATCAACCTGGTCCTCTCCCGTCATATCGGGGCAAAAAAGCCTTTTATAGAACGGCCAACAAGCAGTGCAGTGCAGCTCAGATGATAGTATAATAAAATAAATAAGTAGTAGAAATGCAACACAGATAAACAACACTGTGTTTTTAGTTAATAACAACTAATCAAACATAAAAGACGAAGGCCTAAATCATTAATTTAAAGACGAAAAACATAGTGTCCAATTTAAAATTATCTTCTCTATTTATTTCTATAGCTCTTACAACATTTGATCAGCAGATTAAAAAACATTTTATGCAAATTTCTGGTCTAGTAAACTCCAAAGTTAACAACAAAAAATAAAAAGTGAACCATAAGTGAATGTCTCTTTACCTTGAATTCTTAGTAAAAAATATACCGATAATTTATTATAGTTAAGAAACTAAAACAAAGCAAATGTTTGAAGACTTGAAGTTTGAACTCGTTGGTCTGGTTGTCGTAAGTGCGAAAGCGTAAAATCAGTTTTTAGGTTTTTCTGCAAAGAAATTCACAGTAGCAATCCAGAGTCAAGAATTTTGCGGGAAAAAACTATGAGAGTAATGGAACAGACATACACTCGTACACTATAATACTAACCGAATGTTCATTACTGGAACCGAGTTTAATAATTAGACCGAGTGCACGTAGGTAAATGAATACCGAATACGCCGAGTACCGAGTAATAAGCGAGCGCATGACTTCATCTAAATAAACAATTGAAAGGTTAGTCATCATCATTACAGCCTTTCATAAGTCCACTGCTGAACATAGGCCTCCCCCAAGGAATGCCACAAAGCACGGTCCTGAGCCACCTGTATCCATAGACTTCCTGCATATCTTACCAGGTCGTCACTCCATCTCGTGGGAGGCGCCCTACACTTCGCCTACTGGTACGAGTCTGCCACTCAAGAACCCTTCTTCCCCATCGAACCAAATGTATCAGCATCGTTTCCGGGACACCTGAGATTTTGAGTGAGATTGAAAAGTTCTATGGGCAGCTGTACACGTCATCGTTGGAGCCACATGCAAGTGTGAGTAACGGTCCAAAAGCGAGTCTTATCCGACACTATTCCGAAGATATCCCGGACGTCAGTCTGAGCGAGATTAAAATTGCTCTCCAGCACCTTAAAAACGGAAAGTCCCCGGGCGAAGATAGAATTACAGCGGAGCTTTTGAAAGCGGGTGGAAAACCGGTACTTGAAGTCCATCAGAAGCTCTTTAATTCCGTCCTCCATGGTGGCATTACTCCGGAGGCGTGGAGCAGAAGTGCAGTGGTCTTGTTCTTCAAGAAAGGCGACAACACTGTCTTGAAGAATTACAGACCGATTTCCCTTCTGAGCCGCGTCTACGTGCTTCTTTCGAGAGTCATTACGAATCGTCTCGCACGCAGACTTGTCGACTTCTAGCCTCCTGAACAAGCCGGTTTCCGAAAAGGCTTTAGTACCATGGACCACATACACACCCTTCGGCAAATTATACAGAAGACAGAGGAGTATAATCTGCCTTGCGTATATGAACTATGAGAAAGCCTTTGATGCCGTCGAAATTTGGGCGGTGCTGCAGTCCCTTCAGCGGTGCCAAGTTGACTGTCGGTATATCGAAGTGCTGAAGTGTTTGTATAATAGAGCTACGATGGCTATCCGAGTACAGAATCAGAGTACGAAACCTATCCAACTACAGAGAGGTGTAAGACAGGGCGACGTTATATCCCAGAAACTCATCACTACTGCATTGGAAGACGTTTTCAAGCTGCTGGACTGGAAAGGATGCGGTATCAACATCAATGGCGAGTACATCACTCACCTTCGATTTGCCGACGATATAGTCCTTATGGCAGAATCGCTGGAGGGCGTAAGCACCATATTCAATGACCTCAATAGTGTCTCTCAATGAATAGGTCTTAGGATGAACATGGACAAAACAAAGATCATGTTTAATGTCCATGTCACACCTATGCCGGTAATTGTTGGGAGCACTAAGCTCGAAGTTGTTGACGAGTATGTTTACCTGGGACAAATAGTCCGACTAGGTAAGTCCAACTTAGACCGAGAGGTCAATCGACGGATTCAACTCGGCTGGGCAACGTTCGGGAAACTACGACACATCTTCTCGTTAGACATACCTCAAAACCTTAAAACGAAATTGTACAACCAGTGCGTGTTGCCAGTGATGACTTACGGATCTGAGACGTGGTCCTTCACTGTTGGCCGTATGAGGAAGCTCAAGGTCGCTCAGCGAGCTATGGAGAGGGCTATGATCGGGGTTTCTCTGCGTGATAAACTTAGAAATGAGGATATCCGCAGTAGAACCAAAGTAACCGACATAGCCCAACGGATTAGTAAGCTGAAGTGGCAGTGGGCCGGCCATATAGCTCGAAGAACCGACAACCGATGGGGAAAGGTTAGTAAAACACTTCAAACTAAGGGTCGGACTTAATGCATTTTAGCGTTCTCTAAGATATTTTTATAGGATATAGATGGCAAACGAGCACATCCCACCTGATGGTAAGTAGTTGCTGCGGCCCATAGACTTCCACATCTATCCGCGACCACGAATTAAAATGCAGATGTGTTGTCCCCCGTGAGGACGAAGATGGAATACCTGATTACTAGTTAAAGGGTCTCCGGTTCGCTACACTAACCATACGAAACACAGCAGGCTATTTTACGCTGGTATTCTGTGAGAGCTTGGTCCTTCCTCGGTCGAGCCGACCCATTCGTGCTACAACTATACTACTAATATAGCTGAAGGCTGCAGCATGGCTCTACCACGTATAAAATTTGTAGATATAAAACATATACGTATATATACATACATAATTACTCACATGCTTACATTCATACTGAAAAAGCAGAATTAAAAAAACCATAGTGCTATGCTGTGTGATACGAATTTTGGTAATTTTGAAAACACGTTCTCCACAGGGCTTCGAAACGTTATTAAAAATAACGTTTTTAAAATGTTTGGGACGGTTCCTTGTATAACATTTTGTTCCGAACAAAAACGAAATGAGAACGTAATGTGAAAACGTAAAAAACGGTTTATTCCGCAGGAAGCTAAATGAATTGCGCGTGCTACAACAAGTTTAAACCTATACAGTCTTATTCCAAAAAAATGTTTTAGTACTGGGTTAAGTTTAGGAGTAAGAAGTCCAGGTTTGTTACAATATTCTAGTTAATACCAGCACTAAAACGTGTGCTTATTACAAAACGCAGACTACCCGAGGACCAGTTAATACCAACGTTAGTATTATATTAAATATCATTCACAGATAAAAAACAAAAAATGACACTCTATCATTCGTTCATACAGGTTTCATTCAATGCAACGTTCGGTTTCATAAAATATTAATATTATTTTCACATTTAATTATGCTTAAATAATTATCCATCAATACAAAAACATATCATACATTGTTATTTGTTTACGTTAAAATCTATTGAACAAGCACGACATATACTTTTGACGCGCTTTTGATTATATCAAGTTGTTTTCAGTTTAACAACTCTAGCGTGAAATGTAGTGAATTACAGAGGTAACGCGAGCGCGGGATTCGAGACGTTCAAAATAGTTTATATTGCAGCCTTATAATAAGTAAATTAAATTATTAATAATTAATTAAGTACTTGCTATTACAATTATATTTATATAATAATGGAACAAAAGAAAAAACGGGGTGAAAATTGGAGTTCTGAAGAAAAAGTTAGTGAAATATCGAAATTTATTTGTCAGTACGTAGCAATACTCTTATCCTCCTATTATCCTTATTTCAACTAAAAGGAATGTTCTTATTATTATAGGAAATATTACGTACACTTATTTCACAATCAGCACATATAATAGAGAATAAGTCGACAAAAACATCGGTAAATATTCAAAAAATAAAAGAGTGGAAGAATATAACTAATAAGTAAGTACTTATCGCATTTGTTATGTGTACAAATAGGTACGGTATTGTTTACGTGATTTCGTATTATTTTTTTTAGATTTAATGAGCTAACAGGTAAACGCCGATCAGATGGTGAATTGAAATTATCTTGGAAAAGAATGAAGTTGTGTGCTAAATCAAACTTATACACATATAGGAGGGAACAATCAAAGACCGGGGGTGGCGGAAAACCTCCATCACCTTCTCTTGAGGACTTGGAAATAATGTCCATTGCCCCTCACGACTTTATCGTTGAAGTTAATAATTATGATAGTGATGCAGTGGTAAATAAAATTACTTACATGTCTTACAAATTTAATTAAAATTAAAGAACTTTATTTTCCATTACTTTAGTACCTAGGTAGTGCTCTGAAATCTACTCTTAAAGCATACAATTTACAATCCAAAATTATTTTCCGAATATTCAAAATTTAATATACTTAGTAACAATTTAACATAAATTCCTTTATAATTAATTATATTCAAAATTGAAATGTCACAAATTCATATATAGTGGTCTATATAATATCATAACACACATTTTACTAGATTATCTACACAGTCCGATTATAATTTTCTATTAGGTATTATAATTAATAATTTATTAAATTACCTTTTGTCTTGGATCATAATAATATTTCTACAACATAGAAAATACCTGATTCAATAAAGGGCAAAATAGAGATGACAGGTGACAGGAAAACATGTTAATAAATGTTTTAATGATTTATTTTAGGATCCAGTGACTGTGGCTACAACATCAAAAGAAGTTGCTGACCCTAAGCCTCGCCTTAATTTTGAAAAAACAGACACAGCTATAGTTAAAAATGTAGAAAATCCAGAACCCAATGTTGTATATGTGCAAGGTAAATAATACTGATTGAATATTTATTAAAAAGCAAAATATATTATTATTATAGTTACAATCATATGCATACAAGTTTGTAAATATTATAAATGTTAATTTTCTAAAACTGTTATATTTATATTAATTTTTAGAGATAGATCCAACTACAAATACAGAAGAAAGTGCCAAAATGGTGAAAATAACCAACAATAAAGATATTATTACTAGGGGTATAACAAAAATTAAAAACAGGAAAAATAGCTTGCAAAATAGGTATGTTGAAAAAATTACATAGTCTGATACATTACATACTTTTTAAAATGTGAAAATTAGTATTTAAACACTGAAAATTGTTTCATGTTTTCAAATATTAAAAGCAAAGTTTAATATGAATTGATTTAAAAATAATTAAAAAATATTTCTTTAATTGGTGTACAAGGTTAAGTGCACTTTTATTACTCTAGAATACTTTGTAAATTTCTAAAATAACTACAAAACTTACATTAAGTATTCCATTTCATTTTACAGAAGAGAAGATGTACACCAAACAATTGTAAAAAGTAACACAGATTTTAAAAAAAGACAACTGGAAATGATGGAAGAGGAACATAAATACAATATTAAAATAGCTAACCTAAAAATTAGAAAATTAGAGTTACAAATATTTTTATTAGAAAGTCAGAAAAACACAAGTTAAATAGCAGCTTAATG